AAAAACTATCTTCACAAGAAATTTCAGATCAAGGATCTTGATCAACTAAAGTATTTTCTCGATATTGAAGTAGCACGTTCAAAAAAATGACTCTCCATTTATCAAAGGAAATATGTATTAGATCTGTTGAAAGAATCTGAGAAACTGTGAGTCAAACTTGTTTGACACTCATGTTGATACTAATTACAAACTTAATTCAATAAATGAAAAACCTTTAGAAGATGTGGGTCCATTTTTAAACTATTTTTCTCAAAATGCTTTCAAATTCAGCAGGTAGACTACCAAACTAAGATTGTAGCCTCATAATTGGAAAAATATTGTTTAGTACTGCGAGTACCAAATATCATCATGGCTTAATAACTTGTTTGTCAAAATCCTATTTTTAAACAAAAATAAATTTGGTACTTTCAGTACCGATTTTTTTTCTCTCACATAATCAAGTATGATATTGTCAATGCTAAATTCTTTTTTCTTTTTCTTTTTTGAACATAAAGCAGTTTGATTCTATGAAGACAGAACTTAATCCTATGAAAAAATAAAAAGAAGGGAAAATATCTCCATATCCCTTATTTTTAAATTTCATTTCTTAATAGACCCAAGTTTTCAAAAAATATATTTGAACCACCTAGACACTTTAAATCTGCTTTTTAACCTAAACAAATGTGAGAAAGATATGCTCTTTCTAAACCTAATCCCTTTCTCTCTTAATTTATATACCTAAACTTCTCTCTTTCTCTCTTTTCATCTTGTTTTAATCCAAACACATCTATCTCTTCCTGCATTTATCCAAATACCTCTCTCTCCACCCGGTAACCTCTCACTACCATGAATCTCTTTCTTCTCATGTTTATCTAAACACCTCTCTCTCGCCTCCCATGTTTATCTAAATACCTCTCTCTCTTCTTGTGTTTATCCAAACACCTTTATTTCTTCTTTGTAACCTCTCACCACTAAAACACCTCTATCTCTCTCTGTTTATCCAAACAAATCTCTTCTCTTTGGACGCTTATTGTGTATTTGGGAGGAGAGAGAGTGAGGGGACAGATGGGAAGCATGAAAAGAGAGAGCGGGAAAAAAGAGAATGGGGGGTTAGAATTTGGGAGGAGAGAGAGTGAGGGGACAGATGGGAAGCATGAAAAGAGAGAGCGGGAAGAAAGAGAATGGGGGGTTAGAGATGGGAAAGATGCAGAGAGAGAACAGGTGCGGGGAGAGAGGAAGAGAGAGAACTTTGGGAGGATGGCTTTTAATAAAGGCATGTCTTTTTTTATTTGTTTGGCCCAAAAAAAAGATTTAAAGTAGTTCAAGGGGATTAGAAAAAATAAAATTTACAATTTTTATGCCTCAAGATATCTTTTAAAACCTTGGGTCTATTGTTAAATGAAACCTAAAAATAAAAAGTATCAAGATATTTTTCCTAAAAAGAAGAATATGTTCAATATTGACAAGTACCGAAATGGTTCCTATTTAATACTAAAAGTACATAAAATTTCATTAAATCAAGACCATGTTCAATACTCCTTGTACAAAACATTATTTTCCCAATTTTGAGGCTGCAATAGTTGAAGTACTTTTTGACTTCGGAACTCAAGGCACTCTAAAAAAATAATAAGTTGAGAAAAAAAGAAGAAGAGAGAACCTCATAAAATTCAAAATTATGAGGATATTTCTTAAAGGCAAACTTTCTATGCTTCCCCTACAACATAAAATTTATATGCTTCCCCTTATCCAACCATCTGTTCTGAATGGAGGACTAAGATTGCTCCAATCACAATGTCATGTCTCTACACTATTTTATTTTTAATTTTTTTCTATAAATTATTTTGATACCAAATTTTGGATGTCCAATCCTCTATTAAACTCCCACCATTGAAAAATATAAAAAAATATTTTTAATAAAATAAATGACCAAAATACCCTTGAAAATTTCAAAAGGTATTTTGGTCATTATATTTTATCGAAGTATTATTTTCAATATTATTTATATGTGCGCCCTAATGAGAAAAGGACACATACCAAATTTCATATTCATTCAATTTGTATAAAAAAATTAAAAATAAAATATTTTGAGACATCGGATCTAAGATTAAACGGTGAGTGGCTCTCTTGATCAAAATTGGACAGTTGGATGGTAGGGGAAGCATAGGTCTTATGGAAAGTATAGAAATCTTTCCCATTTCTTAAAGGGAAAAAGTTTATGTGGAGCCTAGGCTCTGAACAATCAAATTAGAACCTACCTCAAAACTTTCACTAGAAAAAGCTGTTTTGATGCCCAAATATCATCAAATTGATCATCTCGGCATCAAGATGCATGGATAAGAGAAAAAAATGGATTTCAAGTTTTTTAAATAGTGCATCTTGTAACTAATTTTTGGACCGTCAATTTTCAAAACTTTCAAGTTTTTATAGATCTACTTAATCTGCACTATTTTTTAAGCTTTAATTTTATAACTAAATATGAAAATATAATTGAAGGTTATCACAAAACTTTTCAGTATTGAAACCATATTTCTCGACACTATTTGAAGATGGCCTCTAATTTGATTGTTTAGAGCTTCGGCTCTATACAAACCGCACCGCACCCTTTCTTAAATATATAAGAATAAGAGATATTTATGTTAATTTCTCTAATATTTAAAAGTTTTGAAAATTAAATTGATTGTGACCGTAGTTAGCAAATCGGCGATTAATCGTCGACGTTTTTTTGAAAAACATTTAAAACGACGTTTTTTTTGAAAAGTTCATCAAAAAATCGCGTTTTTTTCATTAAAACGTTAAAAACGTGTTTTTTGGAGAACGAATTAAACGGGCCCCAAAAAACCCATTTTTACTTGTATTTCTTTTAAAAAAAGGAAAAAAAAATCCTGATGTGTAATTTCTAAAAAACCGTATTATTTCCATAAAAAAAAAAAAAAAAACCCCTGTTTCTGCAAATTTCATAATCTTCATATTCCTGAAAAAACGTATTATTTCCATCAACAAACATAATCTTCTTGTTCCTACAAATTCCATAATCTTCATTCTCCTAAAAACCCCCATCCCCAAGAAGCCCATTTGATTTTCTCTCTCTAACAGAGAAAACCCCCATCTCCAATTTTGAAGAAGCATACCTTATTTTCAATGAGGCGCAGGTCTTCCAAAGACCTTGTTGTTCTATCGAGCTTCCTTATCAGTGAGATCAGGGGAGAAAAGAGTTTTATTGAGCTTCTTCCTGTTCTCAGGTCTTCCAAAGCCTTGCATCAACTCTTTCCCAAAAGTCTTCAAGCTCACATATGGTTCTGAAGAAGCAATGAAAACAACTCTAAGTATAAAGTAACCTTTATATTAACCATACTTATAAGTGACTTAACCTTAGTTAAAACATTTAATGATAAAAAAAAGAAATTGTGCATTTTTTTGGGTATATTGATATTTATTAAAGTATTTAAGTAGATTTCGCTTTTTAAAGTAGATTTTGGGTATGTTGATATTTAAATAGATTTGATATTTGTTGATATTTAATTATGCCTTTTGTTTTTTTTTTTTGGGTATGGTGATATTTAAGTAGATTTGATATTTGTTGAAGTAATCAATGTGAAGATTTACATGGTGTATGTTGGGTATGTTGATATTTAAATAGATTTGATATTTGTAAAAAAAGTATTGTACATTTTTTTGGGTATGTTGATATTTATGTAGATTTGATATTTGTTGAAGTATTTAATTTAAAAATTTATATCGTGTATTTTTTTTTGTTTTTTTTTAAGTAGTTGTGATTTTTGTTAAATTATTTAACGTGAAAATTTATATCGTGTATTTTTTTTTTGGCATGAAGTAGTTGTGATCTTTGTTAACTTATTTTATTTTTTTACTCCGATTTTTTTAGCCTAGTCCGATATATTGACCATATCTTTACATGAAGTATTTTTGCGGATCTGTATTTTTTATCCGATTTTTTCATCGGACTTTTTAAAATAAATTTTTTATTTATTTTAAAATAAACCGATTTATTGAAAATCCCCGACTTGCTACCTATGATTGTGATTATTCACTCTCTTAAATACCAAAATTGATAATTAATAGTGATTCTTCCCCAATTAGTAATTATCTTATACGACACATAAAGACCTTATCCTTCCCCTCTCAAAGCAATATCTTGAGATTCCACCAAAAATGAAATTGCCTATATTACCTAAACAGATCGTTTCCTTATTTGACAATTAATAGTGATTCTTTCCCAGTAAGTAATTATATTATTGCCTATATTACCTAAACAGAACGTTTCCTTATTTGACCATTAATAGTGATTCTTCCCCAAAAAGTAATTATCTTATACGGCACATAAAGACCTTATCCTTCCCCACTGAAAGCAATATCTTGAGATTCCACCAAAAATGAAATTGCCTATATTACCTAAACAGATCGTTTCCTTATTTATTGTAAGGGAAATTTCGCCGAAGATTTCTCCCTAAACGAAATCATCCGAAACGAAATAAATTGTGACGAAATAAAATTGTCCGAAACTTAAGTATCCGAAATAGTGTGACGAAATAAAATTGTGCCGCTAAAGCTGACACGGGTACACGCGTCATGATTTTAAAACTTCTTTCACTTTACGCAACCAGGAAAATCGGGTGGTTTTAAGAACCGCTCGATTAAGCCCTGCAAAAACGTATATATGGTAAGTAGCCTCGTTTTCCCCTAAAAATAAGTATTCACATTTTATTTGTTTTTGACTGTTTCGCACTAAAAATAAGTATTTACATTTTTTTTTTTTTTGACTGTTTCGTCCTAAAAATCAGTATTCTCATATTAACTTTTATTGAGTCCTCTATATTAAAATTTGATTTTAGAATCATATTTCTGTGTCACAAATAATTGGGCTTAGAGCCATCATCGAAATTTCTGTGTAAAAAATGCCGGAGGTGGAATTTATTTTGTTTTCATTAAGCCTATATATATTTCATCCAAAATTAAAAAAGAAAGAGGGTAAAATCGAAAGCGCACATGAGAGGTTGAGCACATTATATCAAACCATAACATACGTTTTATTAAAAAAGGGACACCATAACATGCCATATTGGACTCCAAAATACCAGCAAACATATTTCTGTCAAACAAAACTATGGACAAAAACCCAAACAGACTCAAAAAAACAAACCAGACAATCTCTCACAAGTAAACACACTCAAAAGCAAAATCAAACCTAAATCTAAACCAATCAAATCCCTTACATCTCTCTACCCCAATTGTTCAATCCAGAACACCTCTAACGCTTTATTCAGAATGCTCTTAAGAAGTGCGAATTCTAGGGCACCAGATTTATTATAGAGAGAGAGATCAGATTGCGAGGACAAGGCCAGGAACCGACCTCCCGCCCGCACCTGGCAGACTGCTCTCCCAAACCGGCGAGCAATTCAGCACCGCAGTGCTCGAATTGGAGAGAGACGAGCGAACCGGGTTAGAGAGAGAAGCCGATTTCGAGAGGGAAGCAGGCCGGCCAGAGAGAGAAGAATCGGCACTTGGGTTGGCCTCCGAGAATCGAGTCACGGTGACAGAAGTGTTGAAATACTCTCGGAGCTGAGTGATTACCCCATCTCTCACAGTCCAAGCGTGAACCCAGAAGGTAGAGAAAGAGCGACCCTCTGCGATGACAACGGGGCCGAGAGAGGCCACCGACTGAGGCGAGAAGGTGAACGAGCCGAGGGAGCCTTTTCCAGAGAGAAAGCGCATCAAGTGCTGGAACGTGGGTGGACCGTGAAACCACCACTCTAGATCGGGGGCGAGCAGCTGCTGCAGCTTGCCCGCATCGCCGGCCGCCAGGGCCTCGTAAAACGCCAGGACCGCCCGCTCACTGACCTGATCCTCCAGGCTTATCTCCTCTGCCTGAGCCGCCAGTTCTTGCCTGAAAACGAAGAGAGAGAGGAAAGAGAAAGTCTAGAGAGAGAAAGACGCCTGAAAACGAAGAGAGTGACGAAAGAGAAAGTCTAGAGAGAGATGGGTGAAGAGAGAAAGAGGGGGGAGAATAAGGTTGTTTTTCAGGGGAAATGCAGAGAAGAAAAAGTGTAGCTCGAGCAAGAAATGGAAGGGGATCGTCAGCAAACGCGGATGAGGGGGTATTTATAGGAAGGGAGCAGGGAAAAAGTGGCTATTCACGAGGGACCCGGTGCACCGGTCAAGCCGCCTCACCTTGAACCTTCATCGTAATTCGGCAAGGGGGTGTAATTTGTATAAGGCTGCCCTAAACAAATAAATAAGGACACGGTTTCTATGTGTCCACGGACCCACATGTAGAAATGCGGGCTCCTTAATAATTTTCTTTTTGAATAGAGTTTGATTTTACTTTTGGGAAAAATTTATATAGAGCCGAGGCTCTAAACATTCAAATTTGAACCTACCTCAAAACTTTCACTAGAAGATGTTGTTTTGATGCCCAAATATCCTCAAATTGACCATCTTGACATCAAGATGCATGGGCATGAGAAAAAAATGGATTTCAAGTTTGAGAAATAGTGTATTTTGTAACGCATTTTTGGACCGTCAATTTTCAAGATTTTTAAGTTTTCATAGATATGTCAATCTACACTAATTTTGAAGCTTTAAACCTTATAAATAAAGATGAAAATATAATTTAAGGCTCTCACAATGATTTTTAGCATTAAAACTGCATTTCTCGACATTATTTGAAGGTACGCTCTAATTTGATTGTTTAGAGCCTAGGCACTATACAAACAACACCCCTTAATTTTTAGGGAATATATAATCTTTAACATGTAAATTATTAATATATAATAATAAATAAATTAAAAAAACTAGAAATGATATTTTTTAGAGAAAATATTTGAAGAGTTGATTTCACTTTTTCTTTGGAGGACTATTATTTATGGTGCAAATTTACACTTTCTTCAGTGGATGGTGTAGTGGATTAGATGCACCAAACAATTCTCCATTAAAGTAAGGCACACCTTTATAAGAGAAAAGTTTATATAAGAGTGAGGCTGTAAACATTGTAATTAAAGCACACCTCAAAAATTCACTAGAAGATGTTGTTTCAATGCCAAAAAGTCCTCAAATTGATCATATCAACCTCAAGATGAATGAACATAGCAAAACAAAAATTTCAAGTCTTAGAAAGTAGTGTATCTTGTATTGTATTTTTTTACCATTGATTTTCAAGGTTTTCAAGTGTTCATGGATCTATTCAATCTACACCAATGGTTTAAAAACCAGATCGGTGACCCGGATCGGGCTTTCCAAAAACCGATCCGGATCGGGAATCGGGTGAATCGGTCATAATAAAGCTTCAAAAAAATCCGAAAAAATTATTAAAATTCATTATAAATATTGTTTTTTAGGAATTCAATAAAAAATGAGGGTACTCCATTAAGAATTTTCATGTTTTTGAATGAATATGCGAATATTGATATGTTCTTTCCCTGCAAGAACCGCCATTCAACATTTAATTTACATCACACAAAAGGATAAACATAGAATTATCATGGAATAAGTATATCAACATACATGGACTACAATAAAGCATAAAATTAGTAACATACGATCTAAAAATAAAATGATAAACGACGTTGTTGATCTTCTTGGTCACGCTGGTGCCATTGATTGAATTCGTTTGACAATTCATTGATTCGATCTAAAAACGAATCATCGATATTAGCGGGCGTCTGACTATTCCCAAATCCCTGAGTGTTAGTGTTTTGTTGTGTTCCCAATCCAAAATCCCCGAAGCTTGTCCATCCTTCATGCTCACCTGCACTGTCGTGCTCATCCCTACACTGTTGCTGTTGGGACTCGATATGTGAATAATATGGCTGTGATAGGGTGGCCTCATAATCATCATCTCTCTCATTTTCTCTTAGACCCCCTTCCCACTCTCCCTCATTAGGTGCAATATCAC